TTGATTTAATTATTAACATTGATTGATTATTTAAATTATTTATTTAAATAGTAAACATAAATATTTAATTTTTATTTTAAATGTTAGAAATTTATTTCAATAAAATTTTAAATAAATATTTTGATTATTAACATTTATTCATTACTTACATTTTTTATTTATCATTTAAATAATCATTTAATTGTTACTTAAATGTTCATTATTTGTTTTTGTGCATTTAAATTAATTATTTATTTCAATTGTTTTTCATTTATTTGTTTCAATTGTTCGTTTAAATTATTTGATTTAATTATTTATATTGATTGATTATTTAAATTATTTATTTAACAAGTAAATGTAAATATTTAATTTTTATTTCAAATGATAGAAATTTATTTCAATTAAATTTTAATTACATATTTTAATTATTAACATTTATTTGTTGTTTACATTTTTCATTTATCATTTAAATAATCATTTAATTATTATTTAAATGTTCATTATTTATTTTTGTACATTTAAATTAATTATTATTTCCAATTGCTTTTCTTTTATTTGTTTCAATTGTTCATTTAAATTATTTGATTTAATTATTTATATTGATTGATTATTTAAATTATTTATTGAACAAGTAAACTTAAATATTTAATTATTTATTTTAAATGTTAGAAATTTATTTCAAATAAATTTTAATTACATATTTTGATTATTAACATTCATTCATTATTAACATTTTTTCATTTATCATTTAAATAATCATTTAATTATTATTTAAATATTCATTGTTTATTTTTGTGCATTTAAATTAATTATTTATTTCAATTGTTCATTTAAATTATTTGATTTAATTACTTATATTTATTGATGATTTAAATTATTTATTGAACAAGTAAAAGTAAATATTGAATTATTTATTTCAAATGTTAGAAATTTATTTCAATTAAATTTTAATTATATATTTTGATTATAAACATTTATTCATTATTTACATTTTTCATTTATCATATAAATAATCATTTAAGGAAAAATTGCAGTTGAGGTACTAAACATTTCATTTATTAGCAGATTTTGCTCAAACTTTTAGTTTGTGTCACCCACAGTCCCAAACTTTTCAAAAATATGTACCGGAGGTCCAAATTGATGGAAACCGTCCGTTTGACCGTTAGTTGATCAATAAAATTGAATTTTGACCAATTTTTGACCAACTTAAAAGGGTAGAAAGGTAAATTTGCTATTTAATTCTATATATAATTTAACAATAAAGTTAAAAATAAAAAGATTAAAACTAACCCACCACCCAAACCTAACCCTTTCTTCCCCATTCCCACAAATACCCCTTGCCCCAAAGTCGCCGTCGCCGCCACAATCCAAGCAATCGACTGCCATCGTCGTCTCGACCGCCGAGCACTACCATCACCCAGCGATTGACCACAAGTAAAGATAATAACAATTACCACCTAAACCCATCCCTTCTTTCCCCATTCCTAGAAATCCTCCTCGCCACGAAGTTTTCGCCACCTCCATCTAGGTGATTGACCACCACAGTTGTCCAGGCCAAAAGTCATTGTCACTGCTATTGCCACCAATAATGGAAGAACGAAAGAGTGGTGGATTTCTTTACTTTAGATATGAAACAACCGAAATTGATTTTGAAATTAGATTTGATTTTGATGATTTGCTATTGTTGTGGTATAAATGGTTATTCTAGTGAATGAAAGTAGTGGTGGTGGTGAGGAAAAGTGATGGTGGTGATGACAGTTTGATGGTGACGATGGAGTGGATCTTCGATTGCTTAAGGGAGTTGAAGGTTCAATTTCACTTTGAATGCTTGAGTGAGCTACTGTTTTTGAGGCAGTGGTGATGCCTAGTTGTGAGGAGCGTTGGGTTGGAGGTTACGGCCCTGATATGGATGGTGATGGGGGTGGCTGGCGAAGGATATGTATTTAGGTGAAATTGAAGCACAATCTGAAATGAGGTGGTGGTGGTGGTGATCGATAGTGGATAGGTGGGTGGTGGATGGCGGATGATAGTTCGGGCTGTCCTCAGATTTACTGTGCGGTGGCTTGTGGATGGTGGATGGCGTCGACGTTGGGTAGGTGAGGTGGAGCCATCTAGTGGTGTGGTTTTAGGTGGGTAGTGGTGGTTGCCAACGGTGGCGGGAGTGGTTTGGATTTTAAGGAAGAAGGAGATGGGAATGGGTTGGGTGAGGTGGGGGAAAGAAGAAGATAAATAGTAGTTTCTTTTATTTTTATTTGGTATATTAGTTTATTTGTTTTATTATAGAATTAAATAGCAAATTTACCTTTCTACCCTTTTAAGTTGGTCAAAAATTGGTCAAAATTCAATTTTATTGGTCAACTAACGGTTAAACGGACGGTTTCCATCCATTTGAACCCCCGCTGCATATTTTTGAAACGTTTGGGACTATGGTGGGCACAAACTAAAGGTTTGGGCAAAGTCTGCTAATAAACGAAATGTTTGGTACCTCGGCTGCAATTTTTCCATTATTTAATTATTATTTAAATGTTCATTATTTATTTTTGTGCATTTAAATTAATTATTTATTCCAATTATTTTTCATTTATTTGTTTCAATTGTTCATTTAAATTATTTGATTTAATTATTTATATTGATTGATTATTTAAATTATTTATTGAACAAGTAAACTTAAATATTTAATTATTTATTTTAAATGTTAGAAATTCATTTCAATTAAATTTTAATTACATATTTTGATTATTAATATTTATTCATTATTTACGTTTTTTATTTATCATTTAAATAATCATTTATTTATTATTTAAATGTTCATTATTCATTTTTGTGTATTTAAATTATTTATGGAATACAACGAAAAAAATTTTGAGGGAAGCCGCCTGGATACAGGCGGCCCAGACGTCTGGCCGTCCTCTCCTCCGTTTCTTCTCCGGTCCAGGTGTCGGGGATCGTCATTTCGACCCAAAAACACGTCAAAAAACGTCATTTTTAGTAATTTTACATAATCTACAAAGATTTCTACTATTATTTCCAACAAGATTTCTTCATCTTCTTTTTCAGACGTCTATTTGAGAGTGATTTGTTAGGGGGCAATATTAAGTTTTCATTATTTTTAAGGCTTTTACAGATTTTTTTTATTTATTTTTATTAAATAGTAGTCAATGACCATTTTGAAAAAAATGTCTTTTTTTGGTGGCTATCTGCCGCCATTTCCTCCCGCTAAAATTGATGCTTGAGGAGGCTGTAACGCAGTTCTGAATGACTGTAATTTCTTGGCGGGTCCAGGTTAGCTACAACATGCCAACTTTCTCAAATGATATAATTAAAATTGTGACAAAGAAGAACCCAATAGGGCAGAAGCGACAGTAAATGATGGTATAGTACTAACACTGAAGTTGAGTTTCATCACTATGAAGCATAATCGCTGACAACACAAAACTCACCACAAAAGCTCTTATAGTTAATTGTTCTGTCCATGAAGGTACCTCCTCGTTCTCAAATATCCCATCTACCGACAATTCTTCATCTTCTAATGTGTTAATATTTTCATCTTGCAATCCCCTTCTGTTGTCCATTTATTCCCTCTGGATTGAAACTTTAGGACTGTCCAGGAATCTTTCTATGGTATGTAGATAGATAATTGAAGGCATTAAAACGTAGTTATCAAGAGTGGAATTACCTATTGGTGACAAACCCTCGGGGTGGCGGGGGACAAGAAATTTATGCGTTGACTCCCCCTCTACTCCCCTATTAAAAAAATAAATAAATTAATAAATAAAGGTTGCAATCCACTAGGGTGGTCCCAAGATCCTGGAAAAATATGTCCATTGAAAATTGTAACACTCAAGACATCACCATAACAATATTATAAATATTGGGTCCTACTTTACAAGAAATTCAATACTTCCATTGATTTTTCCCCAATAGTGCGTTCCACTTCAATGAATATTAAGCTCAGTTTGAGCTCCATTAAAATGAGATTTTGAGAAAAAAATGTATTTTAAAATAATGATTTTTATAAGAATGTGTGGTGAAAAGATAAGCAAAAATTTTGAATTTATATGTAATATTATTTTATAATAAAATGTATAGTTAGAAATGAATTTTGAAAAAAAAATGCATTTTTTAAAAAATAGAGGGGCTAAAGAGAATCTGTCGAAGTATCTATTGGAATTTGGAATTAATTATGGCAATTTAAGTTAAATCTGTTGGAAACTATGGTTGCTTTCTTAAAGCGTTAAATTATGGTGTAAAGTTGGGTTTAGACAAAACCCTTTTAGGATGCTAAGAAGCTTAGCATTGTGTCCCTAAATCTGAATGGATAAAGTCAAACAACCCGTGAGGATGACCACGCACTCACATGGATGCGTGGGTCTCGCGTGAATTAAATAATGTCCGACTTATCATGTGTGTACAAACCTAATGTTAGTGTAGCACGGTTGAATCTGAATCAGTGCGCAGATGGAAAGACTTCTGTAATGTCCAGCCTTTAGCCTCCTTTGTTGACTCAACCATCCAGCCACTTGCCGCTTTTGTTTACTAAACAATTTGAAAAATGAGGCAAAGAAATCTTATGCGGTCAATGCAAAAGGAAATATTTTCGTTTTAGTCGTAAAATGAATAGAAGAAGGCAGCTACCTTTTTCAAATTTTGTTGAAAATGGACGCGGTGTAATTAATGAAGGATGGCAACTCTTTCTCTATGAATAGTTGATACGTTTAAGAAGTGTAAAATATCCTCCGAAAGAAGGTGAAATAGAAAGAGTGAGTTCAGAGAAAAATTTGTGAGTTTTTTTAGAAGAGTTGGTAATCTCTGTGAACCAATTTTTCTCGTGTGTCTATACAGGATAATCATTTTCAGATCATGAAAGCAATATTTTTTTTATACAAGTTAATCTATACCCCCCACCATATCTTGAAAATGACTTTTGTTACCTCTCCAATTTCCAAGTTGTGGAGAGAATAAGAGATTATGTATTACTGAGTGCTATTGAGATGCATCCATAGGTAAATAAATCATCAGTTTCATACTGCAGAAACATGAATTGATTCTCTTATTTATAGTTACAGGATAATATTTTAAAGTCTACAGATTATGAAGATGATACTTGTTGGCATATAAGTTAATCTTTCCCCTGGCCTATCTAGGATTCTAGTACTTAATCTAACTTATTATAAGTAGCCCTTGAAATGAACATCATGCAAATTGGAGGTTTCACTCCGACTAGAGCTAGTATACATTTAGGCAAAGTCCACATCCCGTCACCACAAATCAAACCAGTTGCCACGGCAGGCCCAAAGGCATCAGCATTGGCCTTATTTTTCTTTTGCCATACGTAAATTATGAGGCTTCCAACACACATATCAATAGCAATCTGTGAACCCAAAAAAAATGGTACTGCCATTGCCATTGGAATTGGAATAAACCATGAACGTTTCTTTCCCAAAGCATCTCTGGTTAAGTTGATGAGAATGGATGCAGCGAAAAATCCATAACATAGCTTGAGGCAACCTGTAGGAAGAGCCGATAAGCCCTCAACACCTAGTTTAGCCATATTATAGGACACTGTAGCTAAGGGGACAGGATATTCACTTGTAGGAAGCCCGAGATCAGAAAAAGCTTTGTAGAAAATCCAAAAGACACAAGGAGAAATAACACATCCCATTGCAGTCCCAATCACTTGGCTGACGAACATTGAACAAGGCGAAGCCAAGGTCAAGTATCCGGTCTTGAAATCTTGCATGAGGTCAGAGGCAGTGGAAACTATATTAAGCAACACTCCACATGCTGCTAGACCAGCAAGTATTCCACCATGTGATGCCCCCGCCCATGCCCCAATTGTAAAGACAGCTAGTTTTCCGTAATTTGATGCGAATGAGCAATCAGTGAGCCCACACCCATACGCATTACAGAAGGCCAAGCTTGGTGCAAATATGTATATAACAATGATGTAGTACCACTTGAGCTGGTGGAAAATGTGAGGAAGGATTGCAGTAGAGACTGCAGCAAGGGCAAAATAACCTCCAACGGCAAACCATGTTGGGATTTGATCCTTAAGAAAGACTTCGGTACAATGTCGGTCATCATAAGAGAGTGATTTTCGTACAGGAGAGGAATTTCCTACAACTGGGATTTGCATGTTTGTATTTCTGCATAGAATTTTGTAATACAAACCAGCCAGAGTTCGGCTTAGAACCTTGAAAAAGTTGTATAGGCCATCACCGAGAAACATGGAAATGCCAATGAATACCTGATGTGGTTTTAGTTGACATTTTGTTTTAGTGACGTGTATCCGTGAAAAAGCAAATTAATAAATGGCAGCATTGGGGAAAACTATGATGGAATAGGAATTCACCATATAACCATAAAGTCCCTGGAAATTATGTGGCTCGAGATCTGCAGAGTACCAATCCCCCTTTCTAGTTTCAATGAGAGGCCTCAAAATACCCCAAGAAAGTATTCCTCCAAGAAGAAAAGATATATTCACGATGTGAGGGCAGATCATCCCTACTCCAACATTCAATGCTGAGAAATCGAAGAAAAACCTGTAGCTTCCAAAACAAGGTTTTGAGTGAAACATAAGACGACTTAGTTTGATGATAACCTTAGTACTAGCATGCAGACATGGAATTGGATATATATATTAACTGAAATTGAGTCTATATCTGATGATCAAGATTAGATCTTAAATGGAAAAGCAGTCAAACTGCATTTCGGTTCGACGATGCTCAGTCACACCATTTAAAGTTCTGCAATGAGCAGGAAACATCTCCCGGTATGTTGAAATGAAAAATCAGAGACCAATTCTTAAATAACAAAAAGAACCTTTTAGGCTTACGTGTATTTATACGCTTTTAATCCAAATGTTGGGAATTTTGAGAAGCCACAATCATCACCAGCCGTGAAGAACCATTGGAAGAAACCCCATAAGAAGCTAAATGAGAAAAACTTGCCAAATTCTCTGACTTGCTTCCTGAATACATAATGAACCAATCCTTCTTATTCTTGATATTTTCCGATTAGATTTATTTTATATTTTCTCTATACTGTACCTACACGAGAGGTGTTAATTTTAACCGGAATAGCTATTAGCTACTTACTTTGCTAGTTTTGCCCCTCCAAGAGCGTGGAAGCTGTTAATAAAATATGCAGTGGTAGTACCACTGGGATACACCAACTTCAAGTCTATGATCATTAGCTAGACAAAAAAAAATGTGACACATCATTCACGATTCAAAAGCGTAAAAATTTTGTGTGTTGAATTGTATAACAGTTTCCAGCATACCTTTCGGAGAGGAACCACCGAGAAAAGACCCAAGAAGCTAGTTAAAAAAAGAAAGCCAATTACCCAGCCTAGTGCTGGGTTCTTGTAGTCCAACTCATACTTGGCTTCAGCTGCTTGATTGGCAACACGTTCACTCATTCCAAACAGGTAACTTCCAAAGCCTCCTGTACAAGGTGCTCATGTAAGATATTCTATATACAACTGTGCGCGCAAGGGGAAAAGAAGAATGATTGGATCCATATGTACTGACCGCTAAAAGCAATGCCTGTGGAGGCAATAACGCAGGTCTGAATGACTGTAACTTCTTGGCGGGTCAAGGCCTGCTTCAAAATGCCAGCTTTCTCCAGTGTTTTAGTCCAAGTCTTGACAAAGAAAAATCCCAATAGCCCAGCAGCGACATTCATTGGTGGTATAATACCAAGACTGAAGTAGAGTTTCAACACTATGAAGCATAACATTGCTGACAACACAAAACTCACCACAAAAGCTCTTATAGTTAACTGTTTTGTCCATGAAGGTACCTCCTCGTTCTCAAATATCCCACCTACTGACAATTCTTCATCTTCTGATGTGATAATATTTTCATCATGCAATCCAACTCCACTCTCTACACTATTTTCCCTTCCACTGTCCATCTCTTCCCTCTGGATTGAAACTTTAGACTGTCTAGGAATTTTTCTTTGGCGGGTAGATAGATGATTGAAGGAATTGGAACAAAGTTATATGTAAAGAGTGGAATCACATATTCTCATCAAGCGCCTGAAGGGGAACGGCGGCTAGCAACTTGCACACCACCACATGCATTTACATTTCATTTGACGTTGACAGATGTGATTTTGCCTTAATCTTGTGTGTGTGTTTTTTTTTTTTTTTTTTGATACCCAGGTGTCCTAGATTCGTCAGACTAAATCCTGGACCTCAAGCCTCCAGCCCCTCATTAGCTTGAGGAAGTTAATCGCGGATTGTGCCCTTATTGGCTCCTAAGTTCCTGCATGGCTTTTACTCCTTTCCCAAAGAGGGCCCTCTCCACTGTCTTCCAGCACCTTGCCTTCGAAATAAATTCCCTTCCAAGATGTTGCCTTTCAGGAATCGAATCCTCCACGCTTGGTTTGTGAGCCCACCAATGCAATTATTCCACCAACTCGGATGTGCCCCGGGGGGCACGTTTCGATATATATACAGTTTGCGTGTATTGGTTGGAACTGTTTTAAATAGTTATTAATTTATTTTTAAATTCATGTTATTCTTTTTCTAAGTTGCAATCTACTTACCAATTCATCTCGTTCCAATTGGTTTTTTCACCACTTAGGTTAAGGGTTCAAGAAGTGATACTTCCCTCCACTCCGCTCCCCACTCAAAAGAAAAAGACAAGAAGAAAAAAGATTGCAATCTACTAGGGTGGTCCCAGGGTCCTGGAAATTTTTGAGCATTGAAAAATGTTACACTCGAGAATTGACACTAACAAAGTTTCAAAATATTGGATCCTACTTTGTAAGAAAATTCATTACTTGAATTGAATTTTTCCCTAACTGTACGCTCAATGACTATTGATGAGAATCTGTGAAAGTATCTGTTGGAATTAATTATGGCAATATATGTGGTAAATCTTTTGGAAAAGATGGTTGATTTCTTAAAGAGTTAAATTATGATGTAAAGTTGGGTTTAGGCAAATTCCTTCTTGGATGCAATGAAGCGTAGCATTGAGCATAGTCTTATTCTTAATTTTGAATCAGTGAGCAGATGGAAAGATGTGCCTAATTAGTCGATTTACAGTGGTGAATAAAATTGCGTCCGAAATTATGCTAGTCCGGCTGAGCTATCGGAAAATGAAAACGGTTTTGTAGCTGGCAGGATAATTTCTAACTCCAATGTGACTTTTAAACTCAACATGCGTGTAAGCGGAAACTCTTTCAGCTACTACACTGTTTTATTATTTTCATTCTTCATTTTAGATTCAGTTTTATTTGTCTAAGCAAGATAAGTGAATTTGTTTCTGTTCGATAGCCATGGGGGGTCAAACAAAGTATGTGCAGTACGTGATCCGAGGAGAAATACTCCTAGTAATCTTCAACAAGGACAAACACAAGGTATAGAGACAGACAGAGAGAAGCGTGACAGCCGCAAGGCACTTTTCTTTGATTTGATTGTTTTGGGAGATGGGCTTGTGTATCGCTCGACTGTATGTAGGCTCCTTTGTGTGAATAAGGGCAGAGCCTCGGCTATTTGCCTCCTTGCTTGTTCATTAGCATGAGGCGATCTTGGAATAGTCTTCTTACTTAGATTTGATTATAATTTCGTATTTACAATTAATTTCTGAAATCTCATAAGTTGTATATTACTGAAAATCACATTAAAGATGTGTTGGGGAATATATCGATTATGTACATATTATATTCACAAAAGCATACCGTTTATTTGTGTGAAATTGAAACAAGATTTCGACTTACCGAAATGGAGTTAAAGAAACTAACCAATGATTATCGAAGCTAACCATTTCCATTCTTGAATTAAAACATGTGATTCTTCATATCGAATCTTGCATAAACCATATAAATAAAATTAATCATTTTCTGAAACCAAATATGAAGAAATGAAAATCAAAAATAAGAAAACATTAGATGCAAGTGATGCTATTGACCGAGACGAGTATAACTCTTTCCTTAAGATGAATTTGCCCCGCATCAATGCTAATGATTTTTCGACAATCATCTCCCAAGATACAACGACCACGTCAAGTCATATGAGCACTCCAAATAACTTCGACCAGCGAACTCGAACGTAATTCCCTCTCTACCAAGGAAATGCATGAAAATGCTATAGAATTAGAAATGAGAGGACTTGCAAGAGGAGAATTAATGTTCAATGTAATTGGTGTACCCAAAACCATGTCCATAGGGTTCTATTTATAGATGTAGAAAGGGTGCAAATGAAGTAGTGTGGACCAAAACATGCATCCTTTCAAAAAGTTGCAACACTTGGCCAAAAAACTTGCATCCTTTCGAAAAGTTGCAACACTTCATTCTTTCAAATTTGGACCGCAATTTCTCATTCATCCGGAATTGGTTTCGATATTCCAAATATACCACGACGATCTACTCGACTAGTAGAATAAGTTGATCTATTTACTTTTATAATTTGACCATCGGATCAAGTCCAAAAATTTGGTCAAGTTGACACGTAGTCAAACCTTTTCATTTTCCAATTTTTAGTTAATTTTTGAACCAATTCCAACAATCCCCCACATAAATGGAAATTCGAGTATGCAAATGTAATGCTATGATGTGATGCAAGTAGAGAGAGAAAGCGAAAAGCCACTGCATCGGGGATTGTAGCTTCTGACCTTGAACCTCCCGTAGTGAAATACCATCAGACTTACTCGGCTAATTGGTGAACGTGATGTCTTGAACCATTCAGCCTTTAGTGTAAGCCAAGACAACGATACTCACACAGATATCTTTCCTAAACCATTCATGGTTCTCATGATTTGGTTCATTTTGGCCTAGAACCTTTCTTGGTTATGTGAGTGTTTAGAGAATTTAAGCCTTGAATAATTCTCATTGAAGTGGCCACACTTTACACTCACATAGGTGACCTCCTATTAAGAGTATTCTGCCTACTCCACTTGACTTAATCAAGATATAAGAATCATTAAAAGATTATCTTAACCTCTTACAACTCTGCAGAAAGCAGTTTAATATCATAGGAATGAGTTAGGAAACTATTTTCCTCAGTGCTTCATGGAATCCTCATAACTTAGTTGTCACTTTGCACCAAAATCTTGGGATCTCCAGTCAACAAGATAGGGTTACCATTACAAGGACTCTAACGTAGTAGGCTTCAATTTCATTCCTTTCGATATGCAGTATACTTAATCTCTCAATTAATCTCTTAAAGGTACCACGAGTTTACACCATTGAAATCAACTGCTTAATGGTATTATGTCTATAACTTATACGTCTACACTTACCATTACATGTGACTTAGTATCTTGTCAATTATTGCTAGCAAACGATCGATTTCATTTAATAGATACAAATTGTAACCACCAAGAAATCCTTTCATGAAGCTACATGCTTCTTATTAGCTTTATCTAAAACTTCAACAATTCCAAACAAGATTGAAGGATTTCTATCTAATTATTACACTAGTCAACCATGTTTACAAGTGGATTTCAGAATCATGGGTATTCAATATCATTATTGAAACATTACAATGCATTCGAACTTTATGAATATTCTTCATATATTCCAATTGTTCTTGCATGTCTAAACAACCGCCACAATTGGCTTCTACCCATTTAATCCACTTTAAACTTAGTGTATATCATCCTTATAATTAATATAAGGGTTTTCTATCTTTTCACCTTCATAGATATCTTCCTATGATTATAAGATAAAAGCAAACGTAACTGTTAAACTGAGTTACCCTCACAATTCCTCAATTAAGAATACATATGCAATATAGTAACGTTGCATCCATAAGTTTTAAACTTTTCATTTAAGTTCATGAGCATTTATGATAATCCCCCACATCTTTGGGTTACAATTGAACTTAGGGTTTAGCAACTCTTTCATAGTTCAATTTATTTATCTCTTAGTTAATATACATATCGAGTGCTTCGTGAAAGTCTAAATACTTTCAAAGTAGTAGTCGTTGACTCACAATTTTTTTCAATTAAAGTTGCATATAACGTACTTCAATCCAATTATTTTAATTTGATCTTTCAAATTAAATCAAGGCCATCATATAGACCTGCAATGCTTTCAAAACATATACCAACTTAATTGGTTTCTTGATTGAAGTCAAATTCAACAATAAAGAGGACTAAGCATTGCAACTTCTTCAAATATATGCAACGTATCATATTTGTGACATTTCACATGATAGTTTCATTTCAACCATCGGTTGAAAAGTTGTGTTCTCAAAAGACACAATCCTATAAAATGACACACCTCTTAGAATAATCTCTATGAAGAGACATAGTCATTGGAAAATAATTATATCAAAAGTCATGATTTTTCATATGAAAGGACACACATTTTCATCTAAATTTATTCAAAAATATTTCATAATATTCTACACAATTTTCCACAATTTCAAATAATTAAGTGGCTTAATTCTCATTACTAAATAATGATATCCACTTAAATCATCTCACTTAATTTTATCAAATTAATTGAGGCTATTATCATAGTCAAAGTTAGTATAATTTCAACAAGATATGAAATTTTTATCATGTCATTATCATATTAAACAAGAAGGCACCTATTCAAAAAAGAATAACAATCTGCCATCAATGAAACTTCATATACTTTCACAATTAGTTGCATCCTTCCAAACACCAGGAATAGTTTTTCTCCTTTCTATCCATTCGTTGTTTGGCTCGAATTAGCCCCAACGATATCCATTTCTTTATACATCCATTGTACAAATGTATTTCATCTATAGGAATGTCAATGTCTCAAAGGAGTCTGTGCACTTTCATATTATAAGAGATGATATTGCAATCTCATCATCACAACATGAATTGCCACTACCACAATTAATTAAATTAAACAATGGTCAGAATTGCACCATGCATTTCCAAACCAATAGCAACAGCCAACACAAATGAAAATTGGTCACTCACATGTTTTCGAAGCCCATTGTTAAATAAAGAAGGATGGAAGAAATTAAATTTGGTTTGGCAGCCTTTTGCCACTAATGGCCGTTGGTTTGAGTACAACCATTCATACAAACAAATGTCCACATAAGGTAAAATAAGACCAAAGTTATTCATTATCTTGAATATCGAATATGTTGAATTTTAACAAACCCAAATTAGAGAATATTTTAC